TGGACATCAAGGGGGATGGCCATCAAGGGGATGGCCATCAAAGGGGACCTCTGCAGGCAGGCCCTCCTCATCTCACAGCCGTGATCATTCAGGAGCATCCACTGCTGCCTGTGGCAAGCCAGGGAAGGGCTGCATTCCACACCCAGGAGGGTTCCCACTGCCTCCCTACCCTCCTGATCCACGCCCGCTGGGGTTCAAGAGCAGCTGTCCCACCCCTTGGCACAAGGTCATCAGGAAAGACTTGGAAAAGCCTCCCCAAAGCCCAGGATTTCCCAGTTACGTCTCCAGGATCCTGCCTTTAAATTTCCTGACAAGTGTTGCTCAGCCTAAGGATCCTACTAGAGAAAACCATCTTTCCCAGGATAAGGCCAACCATGTTTTTCTTTTGGAAATAAGGCCAACCACATTTCTTTCTGGGAAATAATGTCATTTATCTACCATAGCTAGATATTTTCTTTTTTCTTTTTTTTTTTTTGCTTTACAATAGTGAGGGAACCTTTCTTACAATGAGACCTTGACACAGTGAATTCAATTTAAAAAAATAAAGAATGCAAGAACAGAGCAGCAGCTCTCCAGCCCAAAATGAGGAGAGTCTTACAAGAAATGGGGTACTTTAAGCCTTACCCCAAGCAGGCAGAGCAGGCTGGAGGGGACTGCACTGCCACAGGAGAACTGGGAAGGAAATCCTGCAATTTTTAGCCATTTCACTTGTGTGGAAAAGCCGAAGTCAGAGGCCAACTGACAGTCACAGAGTCATGGAATGGTTTGGGATGGAAGGGACCTCAAAGCCCATCCAGTCCCACCCCCTACCATGGGCAGGGACACCTTCCACTAGCCCAGGTTGCTCCAAGCCCTGTCCAACCCGGCCTTGGACACTTCCAGGGATCCAGGGGCAGCCACAGCTTCTCTGGGCACCCTGTGCCAGGGCCTCCCCACCCTCACAGGGTGTCCTGTCACTCCAGACCCTTGAAAATAGTCTCTCTCCATCTTTCCTGCAGGCCCCTTCAGGTCCTGGAAGGCCACAATTAGGTCACTCAAAGCTTCTCCTCTCCAGGCTGTGCTATTGAGGCTCAGCATTGTCCTGGCAGCAGGTTGTAAATTGGGATCTTTCCAAAAATCCCATGGAATAAGAGCTCAGGAGCAGCTTTGGATTGCCTCACTGGTAGTGCCCTGTAACTAATGGGAGTTAAAGAGCTGGGAAAAGCCTTTTTCTTCAAAAAAAATTAGCTAATCTGCATGTTCAGCCCTGCTGGTTCCTTCCCAGCCACCTAGGAGAGGTGGATTGAAGAAGGCAAAATGGATGTGTCCCCATAAAACTGGGTATTTTGGGTCCCTTTTCAGATGTGGCTCTTACTGGCAGTTGGGACTTCGCCAAAAAACTTGTGGAAAACAAGGTGGAGAGAGACTGATGGCTCTGGGATTGACAAGAGATGGTCACGAGCCCCATGAACCTTCAGTCTATATGGGGTAAGAGTAGTGTTGGAAATGCTCTTACTAAGAGAAAAATCCACTAAAATCAGCTAGAAAAACACGTTGGGGCATCTCCCAGGCTGCACAGATAAAGCAGGGATTGCAACTGGATGTAAAGGAGCAAACTTGACTTCGTGATCTGACAAGAAATGTGGTGAACAGTGTGTGCAGCTTAATTAATAGGCAGTAAAAAGAAGCCAAGGCCAGGCTGGACGGGGCTTGGAGCAACCTGGGCTAGTGGTAGGTGTCCCTGGAATAAGATGGGTTTTAAGGTCCCTTCCAACCCAAACCATTCCAGGATTTTAGAATGAGCTTAACAAGAAAAAAAACCCCAAACCAACCAAACCCACTTTTGACTTTTAAAACATGAATGTGTTGTTTGGTCCCCCTGCTTCAGGGACTCGTAAGTCCTGCCTTCTCCCACCAGTAACTCCTGCGGCCCAGGGGGCAAAACAGGGGGATGGGAAGGTCCCTTGATCTTTGCTGGCTGCTAAGAAAACGTTGGGATGGCAGATTTAGCCCTGGAGCTGTGGCTGTGCTGCTGCAGGGGGTGCAGCAGGGAGCAGGGGGTGCAATTAAACCCGGTTGCTAATGTCATTCCGGGGTGATCCCGCGGGAGAGGCGCGCACAGAAAGGGATTAAGCCGAAACAAGGAGGGGAGGCTGCAGAACAGAAGGGGCCAAGGTAATTTCTATCAGCTAATCCTGTTTGGTTTCCCTTTGCAGCTGGCTTTGTGGGGAGAGGGCTCACAAAGACATCAAAGGAAGAGCTTTGCTCCAAAGGAAAATGAGCGGAGCTGTCCCTGCGCGGCTGCTCCCGGTTAAACATAAACTAGGCGGGAACGGGGCTTTTCATGGAGGACGGGGGTGCAGGGAAAAAAAGGGTGAGGAGCACAAAAGACAAGACAGAAGGAAGGGTTAAGGCAAAAGAAAAGGGAGATGGCACACAAATCCCACTTGTCTTTCTAAAAGAAGTAAGAATAGAGGAGAAGGGAAGAGGACACGTCTGAGGGAAGGGGGGAAAGTGGCAGCTCTGCACCAAAATGGGAAAAGGAGATGGAGAAACAAGTGGAGCAGGTAAGAAAGAGAAAAATGTGTAGGAGTGAGTGATGCTGCCCTGATCTCCTGCTGCAAAGGGCACTTTGTCATGGCCATACCCTGCCCAAACTGCCTTCTCCTGGAAGAGCCTGCCCAGAGACCAAGCTGAGCTGGGAATGTGTCCAACGTGACTCCTCCAAGCATCTTCAGAAGAAATGAAGCACATGCTGCTCCCACTGAACCACTGCCTGAAGCTCACAACATTCCTGAGGGAACTCAGTGGTGATGAAGGAGAAAACAATGAACTTACACTTGGTATTATGGGAGGAGTCAGTGTCCCTTTCCGTAACCCTTCCCAGTTAAAGCCTTCGAACCATCTGAAGGGAGGGAAAAAATCCAGCAGTTACACATTTGCAGCACAGAAAGAAATGTCAGTTGTTTAAACAGTGAGTTTCATCTCCCACACATGTCACCCTCAGATCCTTTGGAATTTTCCCTGTCATCTCTGTTTTTTGGGACTGAAAAGGAAACGTGGGCAGTGGTGATCCCAAATCCCCAACGCTCAGGAGAGAGCCCTTCCTATCCTGGAAGCTGCTCCTTCCCTGCAGTATGAGACCAAAAAAGGTCCTTTTTTCATATGAAATTAGCTCCCAGCTTCATGTCCAGTGTCCCACTCCTGGTTGGGGCACCTCAGCTTTGCTCCCGGTGGGTGGATGAGCCCTGTCCACAAAAACATCCACTTCATCCATTCCTGTGGCTTTGGGGCTGGAGGAGAGAAGATCCAGCACGGATGGATGAGATAACCTGCTTCTGGAATGGGTGATTATCCCATTCCAGCAGAGTGAAAACTCCTAAGACATCACTTAATGACTCCCATCGGACCAAAAGGGATGAAGAATTTACATCATGGATAGAAAGGGGTTTTTAGCAGGACATTGAAATGCCTGTTGCTGTGGGCTGGATCTGCTGGCTGGTGGAGAAGACACTCACTTGTGCTTTTGGATATCTTTCACGCCGTTTTTCAAGTTCCCTAATCTTTCTGATGGATTGTCCCTACAAAAGGAATAACAAAGCAGTTATTTCCTTAGTCCTGAACAACTGATTTCTTTGCAAACAACGTCAAGGTGATTATATTTCATCCACTTACCTGCATAGTTTTTTAATTAAATTAGCAGCATTTTTGGCAATCTTCTTTGGAAATTCAATCATGTCTATTCCCCTTAATATGATGTTATAGGTCTTCATGGGGTCTGGGCCTGAGAAAGGGGGACTTCAGGGTGGAGAGAGAAATAAAGATTGAAAGCTTGTCTTTAAAATAGCATTGAAGACTGATAAAATATATATACAGATGAGAAAAGGTAGGTGACAACTAGAAATGCCTTCCTTTCTGTGGTCTTAACCATTTCTCAGCCAAGGAGCTCTGGATTTCAGGGATGGAAGTACCAAGGAGAAAAGTTTTCCAGAGCAACACATGTTAAACCTTTTCTTTCCATGGCAGCCCAAGGAAGGGGGCTCTGACCAACACTTGCTGGCTAATTCTCTGTTTGATGCTGTGACATGATTTAGGTGGGGATTAACTGGGCTCCCATCCATCAGGGACTTGGGTCCAGCCCTGAAGGATAAGCAGGGTGAGGTGATGGATCCTCTCCCAGATCCTATATCCTGGAAGTGAGTGACAGGGACGAGCTGAGAACTCCCAGGAAGTCAAAGCTGCCCACAGCAGCAGTAACAGCCAACACTGATATGCAAAACTAAATAAGAGAAGGGCTGGATACAGGGACCCACATCCCCACAGTGGCCAGTCCACCTCCTCCTCTTCCTCAGCTGAGAGCAAACCCTTTCTCTTTCCCCACCAGGGCCCAAAATGACTGATTTGAAGTGGAAAAGCAGCTGGTGAGGTCCAGCCCAGCACATGCCAGCCCTGAACCTGCCCCGGCCTAATCAGGGTGACACCAGCACAAACAGTGGGATGTGTTCCCAGCCCCGATGCCCATACCTGCCAGTCAGGAGCTCATACATTAGGATTCCCAGTGACCAGTAGTCTGCTGAAATGTCATGACCTTTGTTCAGGATGATCTCGGGGGCCACGTACTCCGGGGTGCCACAAAAAGTCCATGTTTTCTTTCCAAATCCTATTTTCTTTGCAAAGCCAAAATCGACCTGGGGAAAGGGGCAGAGGGATGTCAGGGCAGGGCATGAGAGGGAATGTCAGCCCTGTGCTCTGCTCCTCTTGAAGTGAAGCAAGGCAGAAAGCAGGTTTCCTTGTGGGAATTTTCTCCCAGCTAAAGCACTGTGGGTTGTTCCAGGAGCAGGCAACCACAGGGACCTTTTTGCTGATTTGTCCTTGTAATGGGAAAGGAAAGTTCTCACGAGGGAAGAAGAACAAACACCAGCACTGAGGGTTTCTTGGGAGTTGTAACTTCCTGTCACTCACAGTTCAGGTTGATTTATTTTGCTTTTGGTTCTCTTTTAAATTCCCACCCGTAGCATGAGCAAGGAATAATTTTAAACTGCCAGAGGGCCAGGACAGATGGGATATTGGGAAGAAATTCTTCCCTGTGAGGGTGGGGAGGCCCTGGCACAGGTTGCCCAGAGAAGCTGTGGCTGCCCCTGGATCCCTGGAAGTGTCCAAGGCCAGGTTGGACGGGGCTTGGAGCAACCTGGGCTAGTGGAAGGTGTCCCTGCCCATGGCAGGGGTGGGACTGGATGGTCTTTGAGGTCCCTTCCAATCCAAACCATTCCATGATTCCATAATTTAGGCTCAACACTGGCCTTTTTGGCATCTATTGCCAAGTTCTCTCCTGCTACAAAGAGCAATGCAGTCCAAGTGTCCTCCCAGTTTGCTGGAGGCTGTTGGGATGTGCTGGCAGGCTCACAAACCTCAGAATGCCACTGGCAAGTATGGAAAATCAGATTACACTGGGAAGAAAAGCCCTCTGGGGCCTGGGCAGAGCTCAGAGTAAGTGGCTCACTGCATTCCCAGCTGTCCCCCTGCCCTCAGTGCCCTGTTGGCCCACAGCCAGGGGCTGTAGCCCACTCTGCTGGCCCTTGGGGACTCTGAGATCCTCCTACACCTTGTGCTGCTAAGGAGCTCACATGGTCATGGCCCCACAAGGGATCTGGGACACTTGTGCCATCCTGGATGTGGCTCAGGGAGATCAAAATGTCTCAGGAGCTGGGGGCTGGTGATGGGACCAGTAGAGATCCATGTCCAGATCCTCCTGGGGTGGGGAGAAGGACAGTCTTGCATCTAATCCCCCTCAGTTATCCTCTATCATCCAACACCTCGCTGTCCCCTGTCCCACACACACTTGACCACAACTGTTTTCGAGCCCTTTTAGTCCCTCAGTAGCTCCCAGACAGCCGGGTGGGTTTCTCCCCGTGCTCTTTCCAAAACATTTCAGGAGCACAGATCTGAACTTCCAGCCGGAATCAGCACTTCCCAGCCCAACCCTGAGCCCTGCTGGAGGCTGGGAAAACACCCTTGTCCTGATCCCATCTCAGCACCTACTGGTGGCCACCCCCAGAGACAGGACCCTGGCCAGGGGGGGGGGGCTTTTCTTGTGACCTGTGTCCCCTCTGCCCTGACACCTCCCATGACTTTTTTGGGATGCTGCAGGAACTCACCAGTTTGGCATAACCTCGGTGATCCAGAATGAGGTTTTCTGGCTTGAGGTCCCTGTAAATGATCCCTTTGGAATGCAAATAGGCAAAAGCTTCCACCACACACGCCGTGTAAAACCTGGTCGTGGAGTCCTCAAACGAACCTCTGTGCAGGGAATGAGGGAGGGGAAAGGGTTAAAGCCATTAGATGAATCCCTGGGAAGTGCAACTCTCCCATGTGGACTTCACTCTTTATATTAAAATACACAAATGAAAAAATATCTATACATATGATAAAATATCTATAAAATATGTATACTATTCAATAGAATCACACTAATGCCTGGGAAATGCCTGTTGCTCAACTCACCTTTATATATCAATCTATATATCAATTTAATTCATATCCATTAATATAATAATAATTTGATTAATATCCATTTTTGAAGTTAACATCTTTGCCTTCAACCCACCTTCACATCTTAAAGTACTTCAGGTTCTTTCTAGAACTAATTTCTATAATTAACAATATAATTAATATTAAATCTTGGGACTTATTCTGCAATTTAGAAATAAAAATTTACAAATCATTATCTTGCAGGCAAAAGGTATATTTTTTTAATTGTAATCTTTGGCTTTTGGGTGTTCAAGCCATTTTGAGTCATGGAGATGAAGAAGTCCTGCATTAATGTTCCCAATGGAGACAAAAGGCAGGAAGATCACAGCTGCTGGGACTCAACTGCAAGTTCAGCATAAACTGCACTTCTGGATCTTTGTTTCAGCATCAATTTGCAACCAGTTTTCCGAGGAAAACCATGTCCCTCTGCCTGCTGGGAGCTGGCTGAGCTCAGGAGCCAGTCTAAGCTAGGTGGCAGCAGAAGCCCATCTTAAATCCCGGAGAATTAAACATGAAATTATCAGGCTCTGACCAAAGGGACATGAAAAATCCAACCCAACACCTCCTAACTTTGCTACAGTCCTTGTTTCAGTGGTCCAGAGAAGGCTGCTGGGAAAAGGAAAAACGACAAAAAAACTTTGTTCTAGGGGATTAAAAGAGAATTTAACCTTTGCTTTCCCAGTGATCTCTCCAAATTTAATTCCATGATGTTCCAATGATGAGCCTATTACACAGTTACAACTCCCTGCAGCTTTTCCTGCCCCATGTGCACCCACCACCCACCCCAAATGCTCCAAGGTCAAATCCTTCCAAGGCAGGGAATGCCAGGACCACGTTTGCTTGGCCATTGCAGCCTGGGATGTAATTACATGCTTTCCTAACTATTTTTTTTTCCCACAGCACTTCTGCATCCTGATGGAATAGTGCTCCTGGCAGGGTGTGGATTTGATGCAGGATTCTGCTTCCCAGTGGTCCTGGTGCAATGCTGTGGGATATCTGTGCTACCAGCACACGCACAACTCTTGATCTCCTCCCACTCATCGCTGTTGGACCCGACTGGGCCAGAAACACTGGGGAATATCAACAGGAATTATTGCTCACAGTGTCCCTGTGGCAGAGGTGGATGTTGCTATTCCCAGTCACAGAGGGTGGGCAGAGGAGCAAACACAGGGATGAAAACACCTTTGGGATGGGAAATTGTGATTTAAGAACTGTGACATCAGAAGGATGTGGAGCTGCTGGAGAGAGTCCAGAGGGGACACGGAGATGCTCCAAGGGCTGGAGCCCCTCTGCTCTGGAGCCAGGCTGGGAGAGCTGGGGGGGGTTCCCCTGGAGAAGAGAAGCTCCAGGGAGACCTGAGAGCCCCTTCCAGTGCCTAAAGGGGCTCCAAGAGAGCTGGAGAGAGACTGGGGACAAGGGATGGAGGGACAGGACAAGAGGGAATGGCTTCCCACTGCCAGAGGACAGGGATAGATGGCATATCGGGGAGGAATTGTTCCCTGGTACAGGTTGTCCAGAGAAGCTGTGGCTGCCCCTGGATCCCTGGAAGTGTCCAAGGCCAGGTTGGACGGGGCTTGGAGCAACCTGGGCTAGTGGGAGGTGTCTCTGCACATGGCAGGGGGTGGCACTGGATGACCTTTAAGGTCCCTTCCAACCCAAACCATTCCATGATTCCAAGATGTTAGAAAGCATTCCAATTCGTAGGACAACAGTTTCCTCCAACTCACCGGTCCCTGAGAATTGTCCAGAGCTCTCCCCCCAGACAGGCTTCCATCAACATATACAGGTACTTGCTGTCCTTGAACGTCCTGTAGAGCCTGGTGGTGCCAAAGCAGAAAATCCCAAAGAAATCCATTACCCAAGTGTTCCCACTTCCAGGGCTGGGTTAATGCTTGGACTGGGTTAATGGGTGATCTTGGAGGTCTTTTCCAACCTAAACAATTCTGTTGTTCTAGGATTCGTCCCAGGACTTTTTGCCTAGAGCATGTTAATTCCTATATAATTCTTCCTGTGGGTCACCACTCAGATAAGATTTGGGTTTAAACCCCCAGAGTCTGAATCAGCTCCAGTTTGGGTGTACTGGGCAATACTGATTTCTGGGGTAGCACTCACATCCCAACTTCTACAAGAGTACAAAGTCAGTGAAAACTAAACTTCCCATGGTGATGTTAAATCCCTCTGGAGAATCTGGAAGGAAAAAAATGGTATTATGGCAAGGAAGGAGGCAATTCACTGAATTCCCTGTTTTCTCCTCATCAGCTCTGAATTCAACAGTTTGGATCTGTAGACAATAAAATCTATTTGGAAGACAAGACATCAAGGGCTTTTTCTTTCATTTTTCCAATTGATTTCCGAGGCGATACCTACAGATCCCTGTGTTTTTCCCTTTGGAAAACACCAAGGAAAACCCAGGCTTCTGTGAATACCCAAGGGATGTAAAACTGTCAGGAGATGATTTAAACACAGGTGGGAGATATTCCAGCATGGGAGTGGTGACGTGTGTCCTGGAGCTCCAAAAGAAAGGTCACCTCTGCTCCAGGGGTGACACGTGGAATGTGCCACTTCTAAGGGCGTAACCTGGCACTGGGCTTTCCAGATGTGCCTGAAGGAGAAGTTTTCCCACCTTTTTTATTTTTTTTTAGTAAGATCTATTTCATTTTATTCCTCAGATCAGCATCCTCCTTCCCTGTGATCCTTTCCAAGGATTTGGGATTCGTTTCAGAGCCTGAACCCACTGGTTTGGTAGAGTTTAAAGGGAACCCAGTGACATGCAGGTGGCTAAAAGTGCTCTTCCCCTTCCTCCAGTAGGAATGTGGAGGAAAAACTACCTCAGGATTTGTTAACCCAGTTTAAATTATGCTCTAAACCCCATGCCCTGTGTTGAATATGATTATTTAATTATATTACATTAATTAGATGTTTATGTATGTGTTTAGTTGTATTGAATAAAAGAAACTATGGGGAAAAAACCAGAGAATTTTTCTTTTTACTTAATTTTAGTGTTATTTTGGTAAGTAACTCACTAAATATGGATCATTTTTCATGAGGGGACGGAGATCCACTTGGATCCTGCCCCGGGATCGTCCCCTGGGATCCTCTGGGATTCATCCCCAGCATCCACACATGGAACAGGACCCACTTCAGGGCCTTGATCCTGACCTGATTCTGGGGGAAACAAACAGGAAAATGGGAAAAGGGGTCAGGGCTCCCTGGGAACACGGGGGCATCCCTGGGAATGGGGTCAGGGATCCATGGGACCCCTCAGCACATGGATGTGGAAGCGGTGCCGCTTCACCTGCCAGTTCAGGGCTTTGATCCAGTCCTGCTTCTGGGGGGAACACAGGGAAAAATGGGAAAAAACGGTGTCAGGGAGCTCTGGGAATGTGGTGGGAACCAGGGGAAACTGGGATCCTCCTCCAGGATTCATCCCCAGCACATCGATGTGACACCAGTGCTGCTTCAGGGCCTCGATCCCAACCTGATTCTGGGGGAAAAAAGGAAAAATGGGAAAAATCCACAGGAATGGGGTCAGAGAAAAGGTCAGGAATAGGGGATCCACCCTGATCCCAAAGCAGGGATAATAGGGAGGGATATGGGTGTTTCCCCAGTGTCCGTTCAGTGCCTCGAACCAGTCCTGCTTCTGGGGGAAAAGCAGGGAAAAATAGGAATGTGGGAATGGGATGGGAAATGGGAGCAGGGAAGAGGGGGGGTCCCAGGGCAACATCCCTGATAAATGGCAAAAATAAAAGCAAAATTTGGGACGAAATCCATCCTGATCCCTAAAATCAGCCACAGGGAAAGAGGGATGGGGATGTGCTGCTTCAGGGCCTTGATCCCAATCTAATTCTGGGGAAAAAACAGGGCAAAATGGGAAAAAGGTGACCAAGGGAATGAGGCAGGATCCCATGTGGGTGTATCCACTCAGGCTTCCAGCCTGGACACTGGGAAGAAATCAGTTTTAAAAATGCAAGCTTGCCAGCAAAAGGGAATGCTGAGGGATCCTCTGTGATGCTGCAATTCCACATCCCTGGGAGTTCCCAGGAGTGTAAAAAACCAGAGAGCTGACGTGACATCAGTTAAACCAGGTGGTTTGGTACATTCCAGCTCTTCCCAGCCAGGGCTAAATCCAGCTATTAATACCTTCTATGGAGCTGTGGGATGGATCAGGGGGAAAACACAGCAGGATTTGGTTCCCTGTGGAAGACTTCCAGGTAAATATTAATGGAAGGCACGTGACAAAACCTCCAGCTTGGCTGGGAGGAGCTTTCCCATCACCATCCAGACAACAATTGTCTCCTGTCTGTGTTTCTGCAGCATCCAGGACACAGAACTGTCCCTCAGCAGCACCTCTTCTCTCTATTTTGGCATGTCTAACCCAAAAAAGATCCTGGCAGGAGCAGTTGGGATGTAGACAGGAGTCTGGGGATTGAGTCGGCTCAGGGCTCATCCCATATTCCGTGCCTAAAAGGGATTATTTGCAGCCACAACAAAATTTGAAGGACAAAAAAGAAACCAGTGTTTCAGCTCTCTCCTTACTCTGGTATTGTTATTTTATATTATTATCTCCTTGCTCTGTGTTGACACTGAAAACCTCAGTTGTAACATGACCATTATATGTAATTCTGTGTATTATATTTATGTATTCTGTATATATTATACAGAATACATATTATATATGTATCCTGTGTGTGTGTGTATATATATATACATAAAATCAAAGGTCAGCTATAACTGAGCATTACATAAGGTTAAAATTTATGGGTTTAACAAAAAAAAAAACAACAACCCACAATTACTTCTTGCCAGTTGGCCAAAATATAACTTATCTTAATAAACATGTCATCTACATGAAGGTTTACAGAAACCTTCAAAAATCCAAAAGGTGAGTAACCACATATTTTTAATTGCTTGGTAATTTAAATGCTGCTGAAAGACTTGCTCGAGCTAAGAAAGACCTCCTTGGCAGAAAATTTTCCGGGCATCAAATCTGGCCTAAAATGTGCAGGTGAAAACATAATCAAATATTATTTATCAACTGTCATGGAAGCCTAAAGTTTATGCAGGATGAAAGGGCATTATATGGGCAGATTAAACAGCCTCAAGTTGTAAATGTCACCATATCTGAATGCCTTTCCTATTTATTTTATTTATATATTTTATTATTTTTTTCCTTACTCACCTCGATATTTGAGTTTATCTACGAGTCAATTTTATTTGGTGTTGCTTGGCCTCTTCTGGTTTAATGCATTTTCATAACCAAACAGAATGTTGATATTCCTGATGTCCTTGCTCCAAGATCATTTTAAACCCACTTTTCACCCACTATCTCCAAACTCAATTAATCTATCGAGGGGTTCAAATTTGTGCCCACAGCACCTGGAAAAATATGATCCCACTTGGCCCAAGGAAGGGCATAAGCAGGTTGTAAAGAATTTTGGGATAAAAATCACAGGACAACTTCAAATTCCCCTGGATGTGCAAAAGGAGGAGTGAGGGGGAAAAGCAGACAATGAGTTTGATAAACCAGGTATTTTTTAGCAAGAGGAAAAGGTTGGACTTTATGACTTAGAAAATCCCTTCCCAGTGCAGGGTTTCCACGGGGCATTAAATATAGCTGAGGGAGGGTTGTTCCTGTAAAGGGTGGGAATTACTGCAGGATATGGGAAGAGAAGACCTCCAGCTGACACCTCCTTGTTTTCCTTGCCTGCTGAAAGGGTGAGAACTGGGAATGAAGGAGGATTTCATTTATTAGTCATGAAGATCAGTGGCTCCATTAGGAAACGTTTGCAGACTCAGGCTTTATTTAGGAAGGGTATTTCTGGCAGTGGTGGCAACTGTGCCTCTCCTTGGACACCTTCCTTTCCATCCCCATCCCGACACAGCTCAGGCTTCCGAAAATCAATCCAGAGGCTGAAATAGCCCCGGGGTATGTTTGGCTCCGGCCTAGGGAACGGGAGCATGTTTGGGAATCCAACACCAGAGCCCAAAGGGTGTCACCCTGCAGTTGTCCCCCATGAATCAGAGCTGAAGCCATGGGCTCTGGGGGAATCCCAGGGATCAGCCTGGGAAGGAAACACCCCCTCAGTGACCAATGGGTACCACGTGCTTCCCTCTGTATTTATCCAGGGGTTTGTCTGGGGCAATTTTTGGGAGCGGGTTTGAGCTCCTCCAGCAAAAGGTAAGTGTTTGAGGCATCTCTGAGAGGGGGATGAAGCACCCTTGGCACCTTAGGTGCCCTTTCAGGTGGGTCCAGCTCAGTGACAAACCAGAGCTCCTCACCACCCACTGCTCTTACCCTGAGCTCTCCTTCCTGCTGACAGACACTCCCAGTCCTTGAGGAGTCAGGGAATGTCACTACTGGGGTGAAAACAACCAAAAATGCCTGGCACCTGATTTTATTCCCGAAGAACCACATCTGCTTAGGGCTGGGACAGGGATTCTCCCCTGTGAGGGTGGGGAGGCCCTGGCACAGGTTGCCCAGAGAAGCTGTGGCTGCCCCTGGATCCCTGGAAGTGTCCAAGGCCAGGTTGGACGGGGCTTGGAGCAACCTGGGCTAGTGGGAGGTGTCCCTGCCCATGGCAGGGGGTGGGATGAGATGAGCTTTAAGGTCCCTTCCAACCCAAACTATTCTGGGATACATGTACATGGAGCATCCCCCACCAGCATCAGTGAGCTCTGCCCAGGCTGCTGGGGTTGCAGCTGCTCCAGGAGCCCCAAAGGCCCCTGAGCACAGCACACAACCCAGTTAAGACCTGAGTTAAGTTCAGGCTTGGGTGGACATTCCCCATGGGAGGAGTAATCTCACGTTTGCCTGGAGAAGACCTTATGGACAGTCCCTGGCAGAGAAGCTGAGGCTGAGGGGTTTTGGGTGCTGGCTGGGTTATCCCTGTGTGGTTCCAGGGAAGGCTGGGGTGGTCTGTGAGGCAGGGGGGTGGTACCTGACGATGAAGTCGGAGTGGGCGCTCTGCATGATCTGCTTCTCGGAGCGGATGTGCTCCTGCTGCCGCGTGTCCACGATGTGACGCTTCTTCAGGATCTTCATGGCGAACGTCTTGGACTCCTCACTCTTCAGCTGGACCTTGGGCACAGCAGGGAACACCAGGCTCAAAAACAGGGCACACAGGAGTCCAGCTGCGTGGGGACTCACTCTACCACCCAACAACCCCACCACCCAACCTGTCTCACCTCTCAGCCATCAGCTCTGCTTTGGGATGAACCTGGTCTTTCTAAAGACCTGGCTTACTGCTAAACTGAAAAGCCACTCCTAAAACGCCACATTTTTAGGGGAAAGCCAACTGTTGGTCAGGAGATTGTTGCTAGTTAACATCCAGAGCCTTTTTCCACAGCCAATCAGAACTGCCTTTGGCAGGGAACAGCAGTCCTTGGATGTTTGCAGAGGATGAGCAGACCTGGCTTTTCCACAGCACTGCCTGAGCACGACTTTACTTTTAACCTTAAGCCTCCACAGCCTATTTTTAGCCTGACTGCCCTGACGAGGCTGGCAGGAGCTGTTTGCTTGTTTGCTGGTGTAGCCCTGGTAACTCCTGCACCCTGAGCCACTCCCAGGGACAGGTACCTCTCCCAGAGCTGGCTGGATGGTGGCCAATCCTCCAAAGGAGAAAGGAACCTCTTCACTGACCTACCAGGCCTCCTAATTTGCTGAATTCCCCTGACAGCCACTCACAATAATGTTGCCAGTTAAATGCTTTTCCCCCCTTATAGTAAGAGGTGCCATCTGGCAACTTCTATTTTGGTTTCCTTGTCAGAATTTGGCTTCTGCCAGCAGGGAAGCAGCTTGTCTGTCATTGATTCCCACCAGAAACCCAACCTGCTTTTTAGGTTAGGAGACAACAGTCATGCAATCCCAGTTTATTTAATATAATATCTGTTTTTATGTAGTTTTGGTAAGAGAAGTGTGGGTTATACGAGACGTGGCACCTTCACAGGATCACGGAATGTCCTGGGTTGGAAGGACCCCCAGGGATCATCCAGTCCAACTCCTGGTCCTGCCCAGGACACCCCAACAATCCCACCCTGTGCCTGAGGGCGTTGTCCAAACCTTCCACCACCCTCTTCCCAGCCCTCCCACCATAACCCTGAGCAGTTTCTGATTCATCTCCTTTGTCCACATCACGGGGCAGGGAAAACACAATTCCCTCAGCATTCCCTCTTTGCCAGAGATCCACCTGGGACCCTGATGTCCACAAGGACACCCAGAGCTTAAGGAAACCAACCCCAAAAGGTTGGTTCTCAGGTGGCAAAGACATTTCCACCACCCTAATAAACAAGAGTCCACCCATCTATGGCCAAACTTTTCATCAATAAACTCTTTTTTATCCATATTTATGCACACAAACACATATATACGTATATACTGAAGCCAGATTTGTGGCTCCTGGTTTTCCCACAGCCACAAGCATTTCCAAGCCCACATGAAACTTTCCTTTTCACACTCCTAATTATCATCTTTGCCTGGAAGCCCAGGTTTGCCATTTCATCTTCAGGGAGACGAGGCACAAAGACCTAAACAATCCACACAAAGTAAACCAAAACATTTTCCCTCATCTCTGCTGCCCTGGTATTTATTGAGCTGAGGAGACCATGGTTCAAAGCAGAAAAATTCTGTATTTATGGCCAACTGGTCTGATATTTTCCCATCTAAATCAAACCAGGGAGGTGACACATGGGGGATGAAAATTAAGGTAAACTCTGAGCTGAGCAGAATTTACCAAAACTTGCAAAAAATAATGAAGGTTTAGCAGGACTAAGCATTTACTTCTGGAGAACTCACCCCTCTTGCTCTCGATGGCAATCTGAATTTCTTGGCTTCCCATCAGACCTTCCATGTGCTGATGGACAAGCATTATCAGCTGCCACCCAAATTATTCCACCCCAAAATCCATGCAAATCCCTCTTAGATACTCCAGGGCAGATTTGTTCTCTTCCAGCCCGTATTTTTTAACATCAGGTTGGCCACAGACAAATAACAGCCAACAGTGGAACCAAGAAAGCAGCTCCAGCAGCAAAAATGAACATTTCTTGGTTGATTTGGACATGACACATAAAAACCCACTCTGAACTTTTTGAAACACAAATTCCTATTTTTCCTAATGTTAATCAGTGCAAAAAATAAACACCAAAATCTGATGAAGGCTCAGATGAGTAAATTCCAAAATGAGAGAGTAAAGGGTGCTATGAATAAACCCCTTCTGGTATTTAATCCCATGGATTCTGACTACCTAATTTTTGTGAAAAGGGCTATTTCTTTCATTTCATTACTATTTTTTTTCAGGGATGGAGATTCTGGGGAAATAACCTGCTTTCACACACAGCTTTAAAGTAAGTCCAGGGAAGGAAATTTCCATGAGGAAGTAGCAGGCAGTGGTTTTGTTTGGTGTTTGATGATGTTACCACTGCCACAAATGTTTAAATATAGAACAGCCAGGCAGCTGCAATTAGCTAATGCAAGACTTTGACCTAATGCCACTGGAGAATTTAGATCCATTTTCCATTCCCACTCCTTCAGAAGGCAGAGGGTTTGCTGGAATTCGAGACTGGGGGAGGGGTTAATTTGCATTAAACTTGTGGAGGCACCAAAACAAGCTGGCCAGGTACGGAATCTAAGGCTCAAATTTAGGATTGTCCACCTGGAAAATGAGCCCTGTAGTCTTCTACTTTTCCAGCACTCCTGATCCTCTCCCTGCTTTGGTGTTTCTGCCAAATGAGGTGACTGTGAGGACTATTTTTATGATGCAAAGCTGGGGAACTCCAGGCCATTTCTACCATTCTTACAAAGAATAGCTCTTAATACTAAGCTTGTCTTAGTTGATACAAAAAAACCTCTCCATGTCTAACCTCAATCTCCTTTCAGAATTATCTAGGAGTCATCTGGACTTTTTATTTTAAAAAACCCAACCAAACAGGACTGACCTTGAGCAGATGAGAATGGGCTGGTAAGAACATCCTCTCCTTCGATCATGAGGAGAAAACCAGCCCACGGAGCCACGGAATCCACAAGGACTTTGGGGCTTGGCTCAGTTGGGCAGCAAGCTCAGCCTCCCAAAGAAAATCCACCACAACCCCCCCCAAATCCTGCAGGAAATGGCCAAGAGTGCTGTTTTCCATGGGAAAAGGAGAGGAGCCATCCTCGCTGCCCAGCTCAGCTTTCCCTCATCGGAAGCAGCATCTCAGGTCTGAAAGGCCCCGACACTATTGATCCATTGGAGACCTGCTGGAGCCTTGGATTTCCATGGCTCTGCTGCAGCAGCAGCTGAGTCCCCAAAGGGATGGACACAGGGAAACACCAGCTCTCCTCAGCTTTGGTTTTTGCAAGTTAGAAGAATTTCTGGTCCCTTCCCTCCCCCTTTTCTTACTCCTCTCCTCACACTGACCTTCCCCAGTCCTTGTCTTTTCACCAAACATCTCCAAAATGATCTCTCCTGGAGGTTCCTCATCCACCATCCCATCATTTACAGCACAATATTCCCCAAAATAGTGACCCCTGGTAAATCTGTAGTTGAATCTACTTGAGCTATTGCCCTCTCTGTTAAAAATGAACACCTAGAGGAGGATACAAACCCTTTTTGATGTGAAATAGGAATATATTTTCACTCCCAAACACAAGAAAATCCAATAAATAGGGAGTGTGGTTAAAGTGCAAACACCATCTTAAATAGGTGATGTCCAAAACCAGAGAAGGGGTCAAATTACTTAGATTGGGTCATTCTGCAGGATTCTAATGCAGGCAATGAACTGCATCCCAGTGAAAGAACAACAGCAGGAATGTTGCTTGCAACTAAACAAGACAATTGTAGAAGGAAAACAGAATTGCTTCTATTTTGCCCAAAGATATAAAATTAATACAAAACATATATTTTATATATATGTTTATATGTTATATATTATGTTATATATTGTTACATATTATGTTATATATTATGTTATTTATGCATATGTTTATATGTTATATATTTTATATATAAAATAAAAATATTTTATACATATATATAGACATACATATATATAGTGGAAGGTGTCCCTGCCCATGGCAGGGGTTGGAATGAGATGGTCTCAAAGGTCCCATCCAACCCAAACCATTCCATGATTCTATGATGAAGACAAGTGAAAAAGGAGAGATCCAACCTCTCTGCTTTTCCATGCCCTTGTTTCATAGGATCAGAGGTGGATTCTCCTGGGCTGGAACCACTCCAAAAATCATTGCTTTGCTTTATGGCTATAAAATTCCCCACCTTCCAAAACACACAGAAGCCAAAATCACTCAAGGCCTGATTTTCGTTTGGTTTTAACAGTTATAACTCAGGCACAAATAAATATGGTTTTACACCTTGGTGCTTTTTCAGACTTTCTGGAAAAATGGCCATTGATGAGACAAAATCCAGGCCTCAATGGAAAAAAAGAAAAAAAGCTCTGTATGTTCCTTCCCCTTCCTCTTTCCCTGTCCCTGTTTACTATAAATCATAGATGTGCATTAAATATGGTCAGCTCTGGTGACAGAGGAACTGAGACAATTCCAACCGACCTTGAGGAACTGAAAGTGTTAATAAATATTTCCCAGAGTGCAGAAAAATCCCCCTCAGAAAGATTTATTTTCCATAAAGAGCTGCCTGAACCTTCCAGACTATTTACGAGAGCATGGAGCGGCAGGACAAGGGGGAGTGGGTTCCCCCTGCCAGAGGGCAGGGATAGGTGGGATAGTGGGAAGGAATTGTTCCCTGGGAGGGTGGGGAGGCCCTGGCACAGGTTGCCCAGAGAAGCTGTGGCTGCCCCTGGATCCCTGGAAGTGTCCAAGGCCAGGTTGGAGCAACCTGGGCTAGTGGAAGGTGCCCCTGCCCATGGCAGGGGGTGGAACGGGATGAGCTTTGAGGTCCCTTCCAATCCAAACCATTCCAGGATTCTATTTGAGTCTGGACACCCTGCTCACCACAGCCATGCTCAGGAGCCTTTTCTCCTGCTCTCCAAGGGCTCCCAGCTCCGTGGGAACACACAGGAAGCAGAGGCTGTGCAAGTAAAAACTATTCCATTCACTCTGGAGACTTTTCCCTAAACACACTTGTAGGA